TGTTAGATCCATTTCTACATTAGATCTCCCTTCAAAACCTGTTACCCTTTGTCATGAATGAGCAAAACTTGAACAAATGTGAATATAGCCAAAAACTTAAAGAATTTCTGACCTTCAGTCTAGTTCTTATCAAAAAGGACCTTATCAACAGTAATCAGGAACCGCGCAGCCATTGGGCTAGCAGGGGCTATAGCTCACCCACTTTTTTGCAATAATAGGCTAGAGAATTTTTTGAAGGTTTACTCTAACGCAACTTTGGATAGCTTACTCCTATGCAGTAGCAGTTCTTCTTGACTAGGAACCATTTTTGTTCTTTTTCTAGGTGTTTTATCTTGTTTAATGATATGATGTTTTTTCTAACTTGGTTAGCTTGGTTTTTTATTACCCTCGAGCGAATGATATCTATTTTTATGATTATTGATATCTTCTCTGAACCAGACTCTTTATAAAAATTCAATAGAAATAAGCAAGCCTTTTTCAAAAGGGGTGTTTTCCGGCGTTCTAGAGGGCGTGGCCTCAAAAAATTTCGGTCCCACCCACAGTAATGATCTTTGAAACCAGCTAAGATCGTAGAAAGAAGCTGAAGATACAAGAAACAGGAGAAGTGATGGAAAGTGTCATTAAAAAGCTTGAATAAAGATATTAATACAATGTATAATGAAATTTCAATACTTTTGAAAGTAGAAAGATATATCTGTGGCTTGTTCACTTTAAAATGCAGCGACTTCATAATAAAGCCTACGTTATGGATGTTCGATTGTCTGATGCCCAGTGTTTTTACGGACTCCTACATTGATTGACTGTGCACTTAAAAGGTCATCGTTGTCCTAGCAATCAATGATGAATAAGAATAAAGCATGACAGTATAAAAATTTTAAAAGCTAAGCGTAACGATTGACGTTATTTCAATTGTACTGGAGTGAACTACAAATAGCACCCTAAGAAATCTTAAAGAATAAGTCATTTGTTCCAAACATGTGCGTAGGGAAAAAATCAATCTTTGCTAATTATGGAAGCAGTCCTGCATCTATATTCGTTAGATCGCTAGTTACTATGCCATTTTCTGCAATCTTCCCAATAAAACAACAAAAATGCTTACATTAAAGCAGACAAGTCTTTTCCTCTTCGTTGCCCCATAAAAACCTTTTGCTTCAATGGTTTTTGCCTGAACCAAATTTCGAAACATTCACTCACCGCTTTGAAAATCGCCTATTCATTCATGTGGTTCTCTTTTTTTCAAATTACGCCTTGTTTTCGGGCAACCTGCCAAGTACGATCTCAATTTGTTTAATTCTTTTGCTAAATCAGAACACGCATATCTACGTTTTTCATACGAAGGTCAACACAACGCGTTAAGAACAGGCTGACAGTGCCACGGAGGTTTTGAAATTAGCTTTACCAAAATCTACTCTAGAAGAAATCATGTCATAAAGACAAAATGAAAGTATGATGTCGAAGTCAAAAGTATAAATGCACTATTGTATAAATGTAGTGGAGGACAATGAATTGAACAGTTAACAGATTCAAATTTTCTTACTTTTTGATATTTGACTCGAACCATCCGGCCATAATTCAATAAAATAGAAACTGTTTGTCGTCCTCAAAAATATTTAAAATTGAAGGGGTAAGCAACTTGATGAGGCATAAGTTACTTCACGTACTTTAATCGCGTATAAAATTTGGCGGACAATATATTCTTTAGTGAAAACATTTCACACTTCTTGTTATCAAATCCTCTCCAGCTGCAAAAACATTTGATCTAATTATTAATCGTGTACAAACAGACTAAATTTTAAAAATATTTTGCGACTTTCATCTGCAGGTGGGCAATTCTCTGCTGAAAAAACGTCCTAACGAGTGGCAGGTGGGGGAGAAAAGTCACCAAATATTTGATATATTGGTTGCAAAGCAAAATTTGATTTGTTTTGATGCAAAAGAGTCGATTCGAAAACGAATTTGCAGCGATTAGAAGGGATAACTTCTGCACAATGGCTTTGACTGATGCTGTCGACAATTTTTCAATTTGAAATATCCAGCCTCTTCTAAAAACATTGGGCTTTGGGGCGAACATCATCGATTTCATTTCATAAACCACGAACTGTAAAAAGAACAAAGCTATTTTACGTAAAAAGAGCCTTTTGTACCAGGTGGCATAAATACATGTATGTTGTACATATAAATGTTGCACAAAGTGGAACCTTGAAAAAGTCTTATGCGTGATGTCTCTATGCTTCGTTGCATTTTGTTTATTTGATATTCAAAAGAAAATATTGTTGTCATAAAGGAAAGAACCGATTCCTTACATAATGATACGAATCTAGTTTCAGGCATTGTTGCACCTACCATTTTGAGGACATTGATTCATAATTAAAAAAGAAAGTATACCCTAAAACATTATGTAAGGATATTCGTAATATTATTGGTGGAGATCAAACAGCTTGCATTGTGCTGCCCAATACACATTTTGAAAGAATGGTTTTTTAACAATGAGTTGTAAACAATGAATGTCAATTTTACACGAAACTACAGGGATATCGACGAAAACAAAGACCCTCAGCAGAGAACACCCGTTTACCTTGGCCAAATGTCTGAGCTTTATACAATGTCTGAACGTTTACCATGGCCCAACTTTATAATAGTTAAAGCGACTGTAGTTGTTGCAAATAATTGCCATTTTTTGAGTCTTACAATGACTTATTCAAATATTGAGGAATTAGATAGACGTATTCGAAGATTGAAGTCTAAGTCCCTACACAGATGCATTCAAGTGGCGTAGATAGGAAAATTCGTAACAGGGGCGAAAAAAAGATTTTCTGACAAAAATCCGATAAGCATTTCACATTTTTCATGAACCTGAACATGTCACAACTACATTAGAAATTAAAAAAAGGGAAGATAATATGTTATTGTTTACTCCAAATCAAGTGCCAAATATAATATTTCTTGAAGATATTCCGGTCTTTGTCTCTAAAAAGATTGCCAATCTGATTCAGAACAACCAAATGAGTATAATATTCAGCTTTAAATCTTTCCTTTCAAAATGCAACATTTCGTTAAATAAAATAAAGCTATTTGTGTTTCCGACAAGATCAGAAATTTTCCGACAAAATAGCAGGTTACTTTTACAGGGGGTTTCTTGCCCCCACCAGCCCCCTTATATCTATGCCACAGCTCGCTTTTCAGTAAACCAAAAATGCACTAGAACATGATGAAGACCATTTCTCAAAACGAGCAAATATCCTAAAAGAATCAAAGGGACGGGAGAGGGAAATAAAAATTAGCTAGTGCTTATAGCGAGAAAGTTATCTTTGCTTGGTACAGAAAACATTTGAACAAGTGAGAACTGCATCGAAATTCGCTTTGCTGAGTACGATTTCGAGTTGGTGTTACTCACAGACCGCAAAATTAAGAAATGCGTAGATATTAGTGTTGTTAACGAAAGTCTTTTTATTAGATTCCGATTCAAGTCTAAATAGAGTCGCTAAAACTACAATCACTGCCAAAAGCTCTGGAATACCAACGTAGGCTTTTCAAAGGCAAATTCAGCCAACCCCTCTCCCCCTAGGAGCAATGTTGATTTACTATAGATAAAAGAAAGGGGTTATGGATTATGCTTTTTCTTGTGGATTGTTTGATATTTTTTTATACTTTCAACATTGTTTTGGGGGGAAAGGGGGACGGAAGTAGTAGTATTCGGGAAAAAACGAGAAATAGAAAAGCACATCGCAAAGTGTTAGGTGTTCCAAGTAATTTTTGCAGTGATTGTAGAGTCTCTGTACAGATTTTCTTGCATCAAATATCAGACAATTAAACGGTTACTCTTCAAAAGTGTGAGAATCTTTGCCAAATTTTGACATATTAGGCGTAGCTTCTGAATCTTAGTGAATTAATTCTTAGGTTACGCCGTAAATTGACCATCATTGATAAAAATAATGCAACGAGAAACTGTTGTTATGAACGTATCTTTATTTTGAAAGTAACATCAAATGTTTCATGCAAATGTCAAAACAGACGCTTTATCAATGCTTTGCTATCAACTGTATAAAATCTAACTGGTTTAAAACTGTTTTATCCTAAATTTTCGTGACGATCAATCAAACCAAGCCAAGACTTTTCAACATCTCACTAACTTTAAGACCTTAGTGTCCCAAATCAACAATCAGGAGATCATAACCGACAAACTCTCAAATATGATGATACATTCCAACATTTCCGAAACAAAATCAGCTGTTTCATTGAAAAAAATTCTTTTTTCTACAGAAGGTACATTAAGTGTTATGATATTTTACACTAACATATGTTTCTGTTAATGATGTTTCATACATCTTTTGCTGAAGTTCGTCTGTCGGTTCATTTTCAATGTCACTTATCAGACACATTTGGTCGGGCTATTCTAAATTTAGTATAAAGATAAAGTTGATAAATGTCTTCATGATTGCTTTCATGAGCTCAACAAATAATCCTTACTTTGAAAATTAAATGGCTTGTCGTGTGGACTGGATTTGAAATTATAGATTTAATACTGTTATATTATGCTGATGGACAACCAAGTTATCAAATCTTCTAAGCGCGAAAGTATATTTAAGATGACTTTGTTTTCAGTAAACGTGCTGAAAAATTTGCTTAACTTGGCTCTTGTATGTGTTGATGGCAAAGCATCGTGAAAAAGATAAATTAAACAGATTTTTGAAAACAGTTAAAAAATTCATCTCCCATATGACAGATTGTCTTGACGTAACTTTTCACAGCTAAGCGAAAGCATCAGGTTAGATATAGCTGGAATTTTGTATAATCCGAACACAAGAGTTTCGAATCAAGTCTTTATGTAGATAGTTGTTGAATAAGAAACAAATATTTTGACAGACGCTATAAAATATTGTCTGTCGAAAACATGCACGTAAGTCACAAAGAAAGTGAATTCATGATTTTACCCGTCGTTTTTGATTCAAAAACGATGAAACTGTGATGATACTCTGAAGAAAATTAAGCAATCGCAATACCTGCCGTTTAATCTATCGTTTCGATGACAACCGTTGTTGCTGTTTTTTGATGTTGGTTGTGAAGAAATCACATCTACTGCCTTCTTTGCTTTTGAGAGATTTTTCATGAAACCTGCATGTATCCCTTACAATAGAAGAACTGTTTCTGTCTGCTTGCAAAATATCTTCCTAGATATGTGCTTTAGCTGACAGAGGCATGAATAATTAAAAGACGAACTAAAAGACGCATCAGCTTAGCTTTTCATACGTAAATCATTTGCCGTGAAGGAAATCTGACAACAAAATAGGCTCATTCTTGCTTTTTGTGAACGAGCAAATGAAAACACGATAAGCCTGTACTTGTGTATTTTGATATTTTCCTTGCGTTTAGAAGTCTTCTTCGCTCTGTGTTGTAAGTCTAAAGCATCAATTGTACGGATTGATGGTAAAGTATCCTGGGTAGTTAATGCTTCTCAGGTGAAAGTTCTGCGCGTAGTACGAAAATTCTCATAGTTATAAAGCCTGAGGCTATGAACTCACTTCTAAAAGAAATCGTATTTAGCTAAGAAACAGACTTACTTTATATGACAATGATCTTAAGGAAGGTCGAGAGGATACCACTGCTACATGCAACCTAACGAATGGATTATATTTATGTTACGCGCTCTGACCTGAAAGTGTCTCTTGTACAGAAACGCTAAGCATTTTAACGCGTCTGCCTACAAGAAAGCAGTATGTAGCTACAAATATGCTGTTTCTTCGAAACTACAAAAAAAATTTCCGGTCTTATCTTCTCTTGGCATTGTAGAAACACGAAAGGGTTCATTTGACAAGGAAATTTGCAATTTCTGATAAAAGCAAGTAGCTTTAATTCACTAGGTGAGAATCAGGTGGACTTAAAAGGATATCAGCTACAGTTTCGCCGCCAATTTTAGGACTCTCTATCTTGCAAATTCAACATCTTTTCCAGTTTCCCAGGACGTAAATATCACGTTAGAGTTATGCTATGTCTTCCAGAATGATCGAGGTCTGTTTTTGATCGCAATTTGGTGTACGAGCAACAAATGGAAATCAGTATTCTTTTTTTATTCAAGTAGATGTTATAAAGGACGCGTCTACCACAGATACGATCATTCTATTATAACTGATGAAAGATTAGTGCTCCTTCGTAAATTTTCTTCAACCCCTGATCAAGGTGACCTTATAAGATCATTGGTCATTCATTGTTTAAAGTAAAGTCGTTCGGATTCATTTTTTGTATGCTGTTCAAAATCTATCAACATATACTAAAAAAAGTCTAATTTTGACTTTGAAATAATCATAAGTGACTCGATTAACCTGTCATACTGCAAAATCTGACAGTTTTATGAAATGGCTAAAAATGGAATTAATGTCTTCTTAAGTCTGAAAATCCATAACATGCAGAGCTTAGCAGAAATCAATAACCCAGGTGCCAAGTACAAGGAAAGTTAGAAGCTAAAAGGTACGAGAAAGATTCACGTGTACTGCCCGTTAATATGGTAGACACTACTTGTTCTAAGAAATTTTACAAGAAAAGAAAATTGAGACAGATTATGAAAGGCGAAGACTTTTGGCACTAAAGGAATGGTCGGGGAAGAAAGGTCCAAGGGAAAGTATCTTAACATTCAAGAAACTCGGAGTAGCAACTTCAAACCTCTATACACCAAATAGCATAACTTAACATTCATAACATTTTATAGTAACTATATTAATTGTTGCAGGTACCACTTGGCAGAATTCTTCAACTTTTTCATAACTTAGCTGATAAACACAAGTACATTCTATCATATTTTGATTTCATAGTTTCAAAGTTGCTTAAAAATGGTTACACGTAGAACTGTTTCAGAAATTGAGCATAAAGTGCTTTAAAATCTTTTGTAACTTTCTCCAGTTTCTGCACTATGAACAGATATGAAAAATTCTAAATCCGGGAGTTTAATGACCTGAAAGGCTTATCAGAAAACAAGTGTGTTCTGGCGAATTCTATGTCACATGGCGTCACTTGCACCTGCCAATTCTCTCACGTGTGTAGTTGAAATCGGCAGTGATTTCAATTCATCATGTGATTTTCCAATTTTCTTGTAATCTGTTAGCTTGGCTGGGCTAGCTTTACATCAGAAAAAAGAGTTGAAATTACCCAAAGAAATGGCAAAAACAATTTCATGAGATCTTTACAGCTGGCGCTATTCGTTGTCACTGTTCGAGAACAAATCGCCTCAATTCGCAACGAGAAGCTTGGAGAATATTTTGAAAGGGCTATCTATCATAAGCCTATTAGATTTATTTTCAAAGCGAAAAACTTCTATTAAGCGAGATTTTAATCAAATCCTGGGGCAAAAATATGCTCAGAATGATAACAACTGGTCACAAGATGCGAGAACAGGCAGAGAATGTTCTTACTGGGTTTCAGCTATAAGCTATTCTTTATATTCTTAATTCGGATATTTAATTCGAAAAATGCCTAGCTTTTTGCTTTTCTTGTTAATTTTTCCTGAAAGTAGTCAATCTTATGGCTTTGGCTCGCGTTCAGTGATCCAGTTGCTACTCAGAGGGTTTTGGTTGATCATTAAAAAAATTTGAGCTTTACGTACTTTTAAGTACAGGTGTCAAATAGGCCTTCAAAAAATCAACATTGCATTCAAGCCAATTTCAATGAACCTTTTGGAAGATAGCCGGAAAACGGCAGAGAGAGAGAGAGAGAGAGAGAGAGAGAGAGAGAGAGAGAGAGAGAGAGAGAGAGAGAGAGAGAGAGAGAGAGAGAGAGAGAGAGAGAGAGAGAGAGAGAGAGAGAGAGAGAGCTTTTAAAATAGAAAGAGCTCCTCTGGACAATTCGGCTATCTGAAACAAAATGCAAAGGGACATGATATAGTATTGATTGTAACATACAAATGGGCTGCAATTAAGAAAACTCCAAAAGAGTGTATTCACTATCAAATTATGAAACTGTACTATATAGCAATTGATCACTATAGGAAGGAATTAGAAGGCAACTAGTGAATTCTTGTTCACAACTTGCACATCTGAAAACGTGATTTAACAGATGTCATAATAATGTCAATAATACCTTTTCTGACGCAGCTGCTGGGGGTAGAATAGGGAGAACAACACTTAATATTACTTTTTAGCCAGCCTAGTATTACTAAATTTACTTGAATAAACGTTCCTGGTTCATTCAAAGAGCTTAACTCTGGACCAGCGTTACATTCTTTTTTATAAGAACAATTTCATAATAACATGAGCCTAAAATTTGGTCAAAAGTTAAGAACAAATTAAGGACAAGTTGAAACTGAGCTTCTGTAAAATGCAATTTTGAACAACGTTTTATCTCAAAATAACGATTTTTAGCCATGTATGGGTGCTTTTCGGTGAATATTCAAACTTGTTGGCAAATTAAGGTTGTCTCACTCACTTTGTTGGTAAATGAGGCCTGAACGCCTCCCTAGAGGGAAAACGCTAGCGATCGCACTGCTTACACCCTATTGATTTAAGAACAAATTAAGAACAATCCAGCCTCAGATCTTCGAAAAAATTAAGAACAGTCAGCCTGAACTTAAATATACTGGTTCTTATAAAAGAAAATGTTATTTGAGGCGCAGATTTTATAAATTGACTGCACGAAATCAATTTAATGAATTTTACGTCCTGTTTAATTGAAATTTGAAAGTAAATTGCTGATAAAGTAATAGTGCCACTCTTCCCAAGTTTCTGCTCTTTCTGTTTTTTTTCTGTTTACTTCACTTTGATGTTTTGTTCTCATATTTTTAGACTACAATAATGCATGTGGTTTAGAATGCACTACTTCAAATCAAGTCTTTTGAAAAAATCACAGCGAATTTCCTTTGCTTCAGAACTGGGAAAATTGATCCGGCGTTTATTCGAGACCGGAATTTATTCAAGGTCAGCGATAATTTGAGTGTATAAAACGGTATCAATTATTGCAAAAATGTAAAATAAAGTTCTTATCCCTTGATCTAGAAAGGTGTGGAGTTGAAGAAGAATTTATCAAAGACATATGGTCATGCAAGAATTATGCAAAATGGACTCTAAAAATTTTAAATTTACAGAAAAGTGATCCTTAAAGATGTTGAGGATTAAAGAAATGATGGACCTATTCTTCTCAAAGATAAATTTCATGGGATTCTTGCCTTTATTAAGAAAATTTAACTTTGCCAAAGTAGATAAATAGGCCCTGCTTACTGTTGTCATTGAAAATAATCACGAGATAAAATCTCAATATCCACAGGTCATTTCGAAAAGTTCATCGAAATTTTGTAAAGTTTAAAATTAATTTTATTTCTAAATTGTTATCTTATTCCATTGTTCTTTTTTCTATTCTTCTTTTTTTCTATTTTTCTGTTTTCTTACTTTTCCTATTTTCCAATTTTTCTTTTGTTTTACTGTTGAAGACAGTAACTAATCTATTAGCTGGTGCCGGCTGGCTTCCATGTTTTTTAAGGATGATAGTTTTCTCTTTCAGTCACGCAAGAAATCGATTTTAATGCACAAATGAATTATCCCTTAATATTTTCATTAAATTTCAAGAGGTCTGATAAAAATGATTATCAGCTCAATCTTATTAAGAAGATGAAATGATGGCAGAAGAAGCGTGTCAGCGAAAATTTGAAAATCTTGAATAAACTTAGAAACTAGGTTAAAGGCAACAAACGGATATGAAAGTGATTTCAGCCATCTGGCAATCAAGATTGCCCAATCATGATACCACCAAGAGCCCTCTCGATTGGCCAAAGTTGATTGACAGATGACTTAAGATTGACAGATGCTTTCAGTGTCGTGATTTGTTTTTCTAAGATCGAAAGTATTTTAAGGATATTTCCAAGATTTAGACCTCGTTTGCAATACAAAAAAAAGAACGGAACTCTATCTTTGGGACGATATCACTTTTTCATCGCGTTTACACTGGAACAAAAGGGAACAGAACCAAATTTGACCCCGTTTGCGCTTAAGTAAAAATAACGAAACTTTCATTTGAAGCATGCGCAGTGGCGCCGGAATGACGCCTGACTTTTTCAGAAAGCCTCGAACAAACTCTAGGTTAAGCCCCGTTTTCAATCGAAACCAAAAAGTTCCGTTTCTGACCGTTTACACTAGAAAAAACAAGCACGATTTGGGAACGGAACCAAAGGCACGATTTGAGAAGATAACAAATTTCTCGGCTGATGTGAACGGGGTCTTAGAAAATTATAAAAGTGCTTGGATGTCGTCTATATTAATTATACATAATATTGATACTGTACTAACAAAAGTGTATAATTAAAACTTTCTGTAAAAAATTGCTTTATTTAAAAACTCGCATAAATTGATGTTTGAAAACAGAAATGGCAAAGACGATATAGCAACAACGTTTTCAAATGGAAAACAAAGATTGGATCAAAAACGACCAATTATTAAATATCATTGAAATTTTATAAAGCCCTAAGGAAAAAAAGAAAGCCTAGCTATGGTATTAAGTAATAATTAGAGCAATATTTATTGATATTCAGCTCCTGAAACAACATCGGTAACAATGTGAGCATTTTTCCAAATATTTGATGAAAAAGAACAATTATTATATTTTTTTGGTTTCGATAATTAAAATGAGAGGTCAAACTTAGCCATTGTGGATTAGATTAACACAACCTCTTTTTCCTGTAATAGGTTTATGAGCCTCTGCCTCGTGTTAATTTTCATACGGGTTCCGTAAGCTTCTTCAAGGTAAATTTGACAAGCAAGACATGCCACGTATATATTTCAACACAGGTGCATATTCCACAAATATCTTGCGCTCTTTGCGTATTGACAATTCAAATAAAGGCTTTTCGGGTAGCATTTCACGAAAATTTGTTATTCTGTTTGAATTTCTGCGATGAATGGTTTATTAACATGGAGACCATCAAAGCAACTCGCCTTCAATGTTCTACTAATGACAATTTTTTGCGTATGCAAAGCCAAATAGTCTGTGAAAGAGAATAAGCATTCTTGTTATGGCGGTACAACTTTTAAACAGTCGATAATATCCTTGAAGTATTTTGATCAAAATAATTGCCATAGCCCTAACAAAATTTTAAGAAGATAAACTAGCAGTAGTGTGGTGGAATTACGAGTTTACCCGAAAAAACAGAGCTATAATTTGGCACATAGGTTCCATACGATACTGGGAATAACCAGAAAAAAAGCCCCATCAATTGGACATTGGGAATTCCTTATTTGGGCAAATTCCATATGGCGCACTGATCAGCAGGGGTTCAAATTTTGATGTCGCTAAAACCACATTATATGTACATATTCTGAAAGACAGTTTCATGCTGAACAACTTTTATTCAACATACACGCCCTTACAATGTGGAAATAAGAGCTTTCTGGTCAAAAATAGCAGATAGGGGGCACTGGGCAATAAATTGTATACAGTGGTGGCGCCAGAGGAGGGCTAGGGCGCTACAGTCCCTCCATCGGAAGCATCTAGCCCCCCTATCGGAAGAAAATTTTAGGTTATTGTCGGAGCAAATTTGACAAAATAACGTAAGAAAACTGCATATTATAGTCAATTCAGCCCCCCTGTTGGAAGCTCCAACCCCTTAGTCGGAAGATTTCTGGCGCCACCTCTAAATGTATATAAGTTTATTTATGAACAACTTATATATTAACAAGATCAAAAAATGCGAGGATGAAATCCTATCCAACAAGGAGCAGGTTAAGAATCCCGCTAAATATTTTGAAATTTCTGCAATCCGTGTATTATTTTAAGAAAATCTGCGTCCGGCAAGTGTGTAGAATTCACTCGTTCTGTTGAGAAATTGTCAGATTTCCGCAATCTACGACAAATTTCCCTAAAATTCTGTTCTTCCGCAAACACTGATGACATCTTCATTTGGAGAAAAAAGGCTACTAAGATAGAGGATGTCAATGAAAAAAGTTGAAAAACTGTCAGAATTGAAATCTTCATCTTCAAATTAGTTTATAATGAAAAATCATGTTGTTTGGACCGTTCGGTTGCGAGTTACTTTGTTTTGAATATTTAGATATTTCTTTAGATTTGACCGGAATTTGCTGCTGCAGTGAAAAAATGTCACTAGAGTCAGCCCGGGCTGA